CTGTGTTTGATATCAATGCTACTCTTCTTCTTCCTTCACTCCTCCACTGTGTTTCACATCTGCGGATGGCTTCAGGCGACCACTGGTCAGTCATTTCAGTCACTTTCCCATTCACTCACACATACATATCATTATTAATCCATACCATACTTTTATATGCCATTCATTTTCCCATTCAATTTCCATTACTTCTTCTCTCTTACCATCACTTTCTCGTTAACGAAAGGGTCTATAAAAATAAAAATACACTTTCCTTTTGTTTTCTCAAAATCAAATGAAACATAATTTTATGTTTAGGTTTTGTTTTCGTCTTTAATACTCTTGAGTCCAACTTCTATATAAAAAACTCATTTTCTTGTTTTCAATTTTTTCTTGTATTCATTTCATTCGCTCTTTTAGTGTAATTCTNATATAATTTTATGTTTAGGTTTTGTTTTCGTCTTTAATACTCTTGAGTCCAACTTCTATATAAAAAACTCATTTTCTTGTTTTCAATTTTTTCTTGTATTCATTTCATTCGCTCTTTTAGTGTAATTCTTCTCAACTCTTGTGTAGAGATAATAGAAGAAGAAGAATAAGTAGAGAAAGAGATATATATGTGAAGAATATATCGTGTTTTAGACTCTAATCGCTTTGAATCTTATAAATAAGTTGTGGTTTTTTTGTTCGTCTATTTCTGGTCAGAGAAAAAAGCATTTCTCGTGTTTTGTATTTATATTTTACAACATTTTTGGCCTCTTTTCGACACAAAAGCTACAAATATATATGTATTCTCTTTGCCTACAAATTAAAGCCTCCGATAACTATATTTTGTATGCCTTTCCATAAGTGATGGTTAAACATAATGAACAGATACCGTATATAACAAACTATAACTAATCGCATAATTTAGGCAACATTTTTACAGCCCATAACATTTGCTTCCCTTTTCTCTCAATGACCTGTTGTTTAGGAAAACATATCACACGATATGGTATTTGCAATGAAGAAGAAAAATATATAAAACCCCGTTATTTGCCATTTATTTACTATATTTATAGCGATTAGGGCCACAGAAGAAGAGTCACCGAAATAGTGATTTTATTAGTTTTTAAATGGCAATTGAATTGAACAAAATTGAGCTCTTTTTCTCACAAAAGTGAGTGAAGAAATAAATTATAAACAAATTTTTATAATACAATTCATGCGAAACGCGGATCTCATTCTTGTCTTAAAAGTAAATTTATTTTTTGCAACAGAAAAACAGTTTTGTATTTTACAAAAACAGGGGAACAAGAAGTAGTCTAACAATTGATTTCATGCAAACAAATTGTATTCAATTTCCACTCGTTTTTTGCAAACTAATTAATTGCGGACTTTTTTCTACCATTTTTTCTGTTTGTGAGAAACACTTTCAAAATATTTATAGTTAAGTAATGGTGAAAAAATCTATTGAATTGTTTTCACTTATGTTTTGAAAAAACATTACATTCAAGTGAATCATTATTTGCATTGTATTTGAAATTAAATTACAAGAGACCGACAGTTAAAATACAAACACATATGAAAATTCAAATGATTGCTATTTTAATAATGTAAGCAAAAAATGGTTTCTATTTTATGATTTTACGGTAAATATTGGGTGCGTTAACCCATTAGTGAACGGAGAAAGGCATCTAAAATAAGGCAACAATTTTTTATTTTAATCAAAATACAAAATAACACTTAATAGTAGATTGTATTTGAATTTTTCCACGGAATTAAGATATAGTTTTATTATTTCTATTCTTTTCATTTTAAGAAATAGTAAATTGTTTGTAGTTTTTTAGAGACATTAATGAAATCGTACAGAAATTTTATGCGTTTAGCTTTTTGTATGCAATTATATTTTGATTTAGTTTTTTGTGTTAATGATATCCATTTACAATGAAACGAAAATTCGTGAATAGTTTCAATCAAACAATCAATTTCTGGTTTTTGAAGAAAATAGTAATTTGTTTCACTCTTTCTCTACATTTCTTAATATAGAAGTGAAAACATTTAAAGCATTTATTTTTGTTGTAAATAAAATAATTATAATAATTTCCCAAAAGTTATCATATCTGCGATGACTTCATTGATATAAAAGTTAAAAATTATAAAAATATTTATTATATCATACATTATAACAGAAGATAAGTTAAGTCTTAAAGGTAAAATCATATGTATTTGTAACTTAAGTGAATAGATAAATGAATTATTATAATATTAACTAACGATCAAAAAATTTACTTTCTGTTAATGATATGCATATTAAGTATATTTCAATTATTGGCATAAAAACAGTGTTGAATTGTAATTAGCATTTAGTGAATAAATGTTTCATTTCCTTAATAATTTCGGAATTAATATTGACTTTTAATTAAGTAATGTGTTTATAAAGTCTAACTAAATATTTATTGGCATAAAAACAGTGTTGAATTGTAATTAGCATTTAGTGAATAAATGTTTCATTTCCTTAATAATTTCGGAATTAATATTGACTTTTAATTAAGTAATGTGTTTATAAAGTCTAACTAAATATTAATAAACATATCGTGTTTAGCGACAAAACCCATAAAAACTGTTTGAATACAATGTGTTACAAAAAATAACAAAACAAAAAACTAAATGCAAAAATAAATGCTCTATTTTTCATTAAAATCAATTGAATTCATGTGTCGTAACAATCATTAATCGACTGAAACTAAACGATTTGATGTCAAATATATACCAATAATAATATTAGTTTTTTTGTACACAATTGAAGAGACGAGTGTGTCGTGAGAGTCAGTGCAGAACCAGAATATAATGTAATGTGTGATTGCTTTACATATTTTCGGGTTTACATACAGTGTTCACACAAAACAACACCAGAAAAAATAGTACTGTATATAACATTAGATGTATTCTTCGTGTTATTCTCCTGAATATACCGTATATTTAAGAGACGATTAAAAATTAGCATAAAGTGTGCGATTCATGAATGCGTGAACAGAAATGATAATAGATTTTTCAAAAGTATAATATTATCTATGGTTTCCTTCACTGCACTTGAATTTCTTTTTTCATTCTTCTGCTAATCGATTGTATTTCAAGTGTTATTTAATTAATACATTTGATGCCTATTTAATGCCTATAAATACAGTACAGTGTATACAACACTATTTTCCCATAGGTTTTCTTCATTGCCCTCAATGTTAATGAGTTCTCATATTAGCTCTCATTTTGTCTTCAATAGTATTGTCACGAATTGTAGACCAAAATGAAGATAAGAACCCATTAATGATAATCATTTGGCAATAAAAATCATCATTTAATAGATTAACTATCAAATCGATTGATCGATACTTCCATATAATCTAATGACATCTTATTTACTCTAATAATTAATTATCAAATCGTTTCGTTTATTTGCAAAAATCAATTATTTATTATTATTCCTGTCTCTCATACCTATCATAGGCTCATATTATTAATACAATCGGAGCTTTTTCTCTGTTAATTGCATAACATATACAATATGTTTATACAATACATTTTGGTTGCCTTTTCAAACATAGATGCGTTAAAACACTTCCTGTATTCATGTGTTTTTAATTCTTGTGTTTGTCTTTTCTAATATTATCTATGGTTTCCTTCACTGCACTTGAATTTCTTTTTTCATTCTTCTGCTAATCGATTGTATTTCAAGTGTTATTTAATTAATACATTTGATGCCTATTTAATGCCTATAAATACAGTACAATATATACACCACTATTTTCCCATTGGTTTTCTTCATTGCCCTCAATGTTAATGAGTTCTCATATTAGCTCTCATTTTGTCTTCAATAGTATTGTCACGAATTGTAGACCAAAATGAAGATAAGAAGCCATTAATGATAATCATTTGGCAATAAAAATCATCATTTAATAGATTAACTATCAAATCGATTGATCGATACTTCCATATAATCTAATGACATCTTATTTACTCTAATAATTAATTATCAAATTGTTTCGTTTGTTTTGCAAAAATCAATTATTTATTATTCCTGTCTCTCATACCTATCATAAGCTCATATTATTAATACAATCGGAGCTTTTCTCTGTTAATTGCATAACATATACAATATGTTTATACAATACATTTTGGTTGCCTTTTCAAACATAGATGCGTTAAAACACTTCCTGTATTCATGTGTTTTTAATTCTTGTGTTTGTCTTTTCAAACAAACCCCACATTTAAATGATTTATTTTTGTGCGCTTTTCTTATGGATATTAACAGTGGATATGATATACCGTATAGAAAGAGAGGGCGAAATAAAACTGTTTTTAATGTGCGATACGATTCCCCGGGTTTTGTTATGCATTAATTTTATGCTTTATTTAAATGCAAATATAATTTAAATGCATTAACGGACGAGTCATTCAAAAGCTAAATGCATTTTTATTATGTATTTCATAATACAATAAAATGCGAGTAAAATATAATTGTTTTTATTTATTTTGTTCATATAATATGGAAAGTATGTGAAAACTGTCCATAAATTAAGGTATATCTGCAATAACAGGATAAAAGGTATGCATTAAATGAAATAACAGTTAAATATTTCTGAATAATCCTCACATGTTGTAAACATTCCGATCTCCGCCTAAAACTGGTTATCCCTTACCTTCCCATACAATCCCAAAGCCATACGAGCCCTAAACGTACCGTTCATTTACTCAACATTCATACAAAAAACACCGTTATTTTGATGGATATTAGAAATTATATAATAGTTTATGAAATGAAAAGTAAATTAAAGACACAAAAGAATTCGCAACTCTTTTGACAATAGGCTATGATTTTCAATATAATAGCCGATTGTATGATCGCTATTAAAATATGGATTTAAATCAAACAATTAATGATTAATACATTATTAAAAATGCAAATAATTGTATAGAAAATGCACTTTCCATACAAACACACAAAACATATTCTGGCCTTTATTTGTATGAAAAGTTAAGGTTATTTACATTTTTGTGGAGGAGTGAAGGAAGAAGAAGAGTAGCATTGATATCAAACACAGCATTATTGTGACGACAGAGAGTCCGACGAAGACTGTGGCCGCGCGGAAGGCCGGCGTCGATATCGTACTGAAGTCGTCGAGCCGTCCCTCGCAGACGAGGTCCTGTCCGTCCTGAAAGAGTCGACACGAGCGCCACAAACCGAAATACCCGGTGCCCGGAGACGTCTCCGTATCGCCCAACCATTGGGGCTGAACGAAGATCACCACATTTATGATGGCAAAACACATGGTAAATACGGCCCACAACACACCGATGGCACGGCTGTTGCGGATGTAATTGATCTGATAGTGATAGTAATCCATGTCCGGTGAGGACTCGTACGGCGAGCCCTGAAGCTTGTTATCCATTGGTTTTTGTGTTGGAAGGGATCGCGTATTGTATTGAATACTTTTGTTGAAAATCACTTTTACATTCAGTCAATCCAATCGATGGCACAAAATATCGATAAAAAACACACAAAAGTGAGGAAACTTTTTCTGTTGGCAATGAATTGTATAATTTTTTTGAGATTACATTTTTCTAACTCTCTTTCCACACGTCTTAAGCGTTCATTTCATTCACTGACAGTTCAGTGAAAAGTTATGAACTCTTTTGGCTGACGAGTGGATATGTTTTGGACTTTTCTCTCAGTTCACAGTTTTCTTTTGCCAGAAGTTCACAGATATCTCATCAAATGGTTTGCCTCTAAAAAGTCAGTGCAAACACTCGTTGCAAATGCTTTTATACCGATAGTTGCACAACAGGTTTGTTGGGTCTCTCTCTCTCTCTCTCTCTCTCTCTCACTCACTCACTCGCACACATCCACATATCGTAACCCAACCCCTCTTTTCCTCTTTATATAACTGTTTGAGAGAAATATTTTATAGTAGAAAACATAGTATAATATCCTTTATATTTATCTAAAATAATATTCAAACACCGAAACAATGGTATAGTTTTATCAAACAAAACAATGTAAACAATAAATTAGTTTTCTTGAGAAACTCTTTCTTCTCTACAAATCAAAAGTAT